ATTATAAACCTATCCAACTCGACCTTCCCAATACATTGTGTATTGCAGACGGACCAAACGAAACCGTCTCTGGTCCTAATTGAATAGAAGGATCAACACACCACTCGTACCATACTTTCTGAGAATTTGTTAATCTCCAAAAATTGATATCAAGTTTTGTATTAGAAGGTAGATAAATTGGTATCTAATATATAAATAAATATAATAGATATAAATAAATAAAATAGTAAAGTTAAGTAAATACATCATATCATCGTTATTTTGTGAAACCTACCCTTAACGGGAAAAAAATGGGAAACCAACTAAACATATCAACGGAATGTGTATCCGGATGAATGCTCAGTATGATATCTTTATATAATATCGATTCAAAATATCCAGCAATACCATGCAGTATTCCAGATTCTCTTATGTTAAAGGTCACTTTAGAGTATCGTGTGTTATGATAATTATTAATGGGATTTCCTACGAAATTTATAAAAAATATTAAAATTTAATAAATAAATAATATATAAATCATTATTGAAGTGTGTATGACCAACCATTTTCGTCAACCGAAATGTTCCCATTTGGATGATCAAAACGCCAAACCTGACATGGTTTGGCTAACTCAGAAGCAGATTGAAACATAACAACATATGGAGTCTCAAAGTGAGCCAGATCTTTGTACGCCGCAACCTCATTATAAAGTTTTGATGATGAAATTGGTGAAATAAAAGCCGTGTAAGAAGCAGGTATTGATATACCACCAGCTTAAATGTATTGATCACAAAACTAATTTTAGATGATTATGCTTGTTTAAAATGCAAAAATATACATTATACAATATTTCAAAATTAAAAATTTTATAACATACATTTCAAAAACTTTTGTGCGCCATCCAAACATTCTGGTGATAACTCATTATCACCAAACGAACCTAAAAGCTCGCTGACTAAAATATCAGCCTTGATATATAATTGAAAAATCGAAGATTTTTGCATATAATTGAAAATTAATTCACACATTTTACAAATTAAGAAATATAGGATCATATACTAACTTTTTCTGGAGCTTTCCAGAATCTCATATCAGAAAACACGATTGTCACTTTATCACCCCATATTTCTGCTTTTTTATTCTGTAAACTAAAATTCATGAATATTAAGAATAATATTAAAATGCGATTCTTGTATATCAAGACGGAGTAATGATCCTTGTTAATCAACATACATGACAAAAGCACTAGGATTCTTTTCAATAGCATATACCTTAACTCGTTTTTGTGCTTTCTCAGCCGCTTCTAAGCTACGCGTGACCAAAGGCCCACGACCAGCACCCACGACCATAATAACTCTAAAATATTTCATACCAATAATAATAAATAATAAATAATTAGTTAGGAATTAATAAATATTAATGTTTTCTTAATTTCATATTATAAGTGAAGACAATCAGCATTACATCATTTCTTCCGATCCGATAGTATGATCCAGAAGGGCATGATGTATTGCCTGTAAAATATATTAATCATCAATACATGTAAGGAGTTATCTAACGTAATAAATGAGTCAAATCGAAATCAAAATACTTCGATTGATCCGGATAGGTTGCCAAGTTCAATAAAATCTAATTCTTACATTTCATACCTTCTCGTATAATGCATATTTTGTGGAGTCTTTTTCGAAAACTTCATAGGTAGATGACTCTAAATTATCCATCAATGGCTATCATAATTCAAATTAAAGAATAATTAGTATTATTAAACAAAATCATGTTTTTTTTTGTGAGTAAAAATAAATTACCTGTAATTACCTGTAAAGGAGATTGCAGAAAATCATGATAACCTAACGCGAACTGTTCAACTTGGGTCAACTCAGGCATTGTGCGATTTAAATAATGCACATATTCCTGATATGCAGAAAGCCCACCGCTTGCATGATTAGGAACATCAGTCGCGCAATCAATGATAAAATTT